AGAAGCCAGCGGCCAGAGGAAAAGAAGAGACGCGGCGGCGAGCGAGCGAGAAAGCGAGGACGAGGAACTTTCCGAAGAGACATGGTGTGTGCGTAAGACGAAGGAGGCGTTGAAGCAGCCCGTCGTCGTGCAAGCGACACGGAAAAGAAGGGAGAGGAGGAAAGAAGGGGAATAAAGGGAAGACAACAAAATAAAAGGAAGAAAACTGGGGCACGATTGGCAGAATAAAGAGCAGAATTTTCCAAAGGAAACGAGAGACAAAAGAACGGGGGGAAATGGAGAAGAGAGAAGTCAGGGGCAGTCAAAAATGGACACGAAGCCGGTCTGAGTGACTCCCCTGCGACTTCTACGCCCAGAGTCACCAGATGCCCAGTGCCTGGCATTTGCCCCCAAGAGCCCGACTGTGGCCCAGCCCCAGCATGGCATCGGGCTGGGTGAGAGGCGCCCCCAGGCTGAGGCCGGAGTCTGGAGGGAGTGTGCACCCCAAGCCTGGGCCCCACCGGCCATAAGCCACCAGTGGAGATGCTGGGGTGTCTGGGCGGTTGCCTCGGGATCCTCAGCCTGCTCGAGCCAGGGAGCAGTTTCTGTCTGTGCTGACTCCACAGCCAGCTTCAAAACAGCGTGAAAGAAATCCGAGCGAGGACGTCGTCGGCAGGAGCCGGACTTCTAAAACCCCCTTCCGCCCCCATCGGCTTCAATATTAAAAAAACCCCTAGGAGCCTCAGACACTGTATTAATTAGTGCAACCACCCATGAAAAGTTGTGTTTGGAGCGGCATTCTTTGCCCTGTGTGAAAAACCAAGTCTAATAAACAATTGTTAAGTTGGCCTGTTGCCGCTGGTAAATTACATAGCATTAAAAAAATAATGCTTTTCATATTAGGCACTAATTAAAGGTTGGGACAGCTTTAAACAAGGGAGGGAGGGGGGAAATCAAAGAAAATATAAAAATGTTCTTTCAAGAGTTATGGGAGGTTAATAAAGTCTGTCTGTTAGAGTGAGTCTACTTTGCCCCGAGCTACAGCCAAACTGGAGCCACCACAATTGGGTCTCAATAAGATAATGATATTCCTTTCTCTGCTATTAAAAGCCTCCCAGTGCAAACTTAAAATGATTTATTTAATTTAGGAAATTATGAGGTGTAACTTCAAAGCCCGAGCCGTTAGTAATGGAAAATACCAGGTTGTTTAAAATTATAATAATAATTGTTTGGAGGACTCGGGACATCAAAGTGTTTTCATCAACAAATGCTGAGGGGTCCGGAGGAGGTTGGAAGGAGTCAGAGGAGGTGGATGGAGTTTGGATTTGATTACTCCTGAACCTTATCAGCAACGCTGCCTTCGGGACTCCCGAAAGCCCGGGTCCTTGGAGCAGCTTTGAAGCGGGCTGGTTGGGAAAGTAATTGTACTGCTTCTGATTTAGCTCTTAGGAGGGAGGAGGTGAGAGGGGTTGCTGGAGGGGGCTAGAGGGGTCCAGGAGATGAGCGCAGCTTTTTTTGTTGCTGGGACCACTTTATTTCGTTGAAGAGGCCTACAGCATCTCCAAGCTGGTCACACACCACACACACACAACACGCATTTGTGCTCACACTGAGGGGGGAAGCAAGCACAAGCAACCTCGTCCAGCCGGCCCTGTGATTTGGGGAGGGTGTGTGTGACGTGGGCTCTTTTATAAATGAGGTTTATGCTCTTCCAAAGCCTGCAGTGGAGAGGGGGTGGGGTGGGGGAATGGCCTCTCCAACCCGTGGCAAATGAGGGGCTTTCATGGCAAAGAATGGCCGTGGGAGTTTTCATTCGGTCAGACAAGGTTCCGCTCAAAGACTGGGATGCTCTTTTCAGGCGGGGGCAGGCGGACGTTTCCACAGCGCCTTCTCTCAGCCGGCCCCTGGCTACCTACCTCCTGCTGGCCGGGCCCCAGCTCCGCCGAGGCAGGCTGCGGCTCGGGTCCACCGGGTGACAAGCTGGGCTCCTCCTGGCAGGGGTGGGGGTGGGCTCGGCGGCTCATAGCAGTGAGCCCCGGGTCTGACCATCTGAAGGCACCCCGCACCGGGTCGGAGGCCGCTAACTGCTCTGGGAGGCACCGGCTTTTGTCTGCGCTTTTGCCCAGCGCCTCCACTCAGCCAGGCCTGGATTCCGCTAGCACCGCCAGCTCTGTGACTCTACACGAGGCGCCTCACCTCTCTGAGCCTCAGTTTCCTCAACGACGAGGTGGCATTGGTCTCTCTGCCCTCCCCCCACCATGCGCGATGCTAACCTGAGTCCACGCCAGGCGATCCGAGTTCTGCTCTTGCTATACCGCAGTGGCTCAATAAATGTGATTTCGTTCGCCGTGCATCCCCCACCCCTAACTTTAGCAAAAGCAGTCGCTGCCTTTCTGGGTAGTTTGGGTGGAAAGCGTGAAAAGTACGCATGGAGGGCTGGATGAAGGTGATGTCGCCAGGGTTCTCAGGCTGACCCCGCCCGCACGCGGCGGGCATGGCACCTTGGGCTGTGGTTCACCACGCGGGGCTGCGCGGACCCTCTGCGAGTCAGAGGCCACCTGTGGCTGCCCGCAGGAGGCCGAACTCAACCCAACTCACTGCCCATCCAGCTGGCAAAAGTATGGCCTCTTCTGAAACGCTTCGCGGATCAAGCCGGACGGAGGCCGATCCCAGGAGGCGGCATTCGGTGGGAATCAGCCAAGCAAGGTGCCCGGCGACCCAGGGTTGGAGTGAGCGGCGCTCAGCCCCGGACCACCTAGTTAAGTTAGCACAGCCCGGCCCGGCCCGTTGCGAGCCTCGCAGCTCGGATTTTGCACCGGAAGGGGGTGAAGCACAATCACCCAGACGCTTCCAAATGTACCCACTACCTACAGCCCCGATTCCGATAGCAGATCCCCGATCCCGACCCCTCACTCATCCGGCTGAGCCCTCACCAGTAGCCAGTAACTCCGGATTCCACCACCCCTGTTGTCGAGATCGATTCCACCACCCCTGTTGTCGAGATCGCCTGCGGGCCTAGGGGGTCCTCGTGGCACCCAGAAGGAAGCTTGGTGGAGGAGCTAATTAGAGACCCAACTTGGCGGCTGATGAGGAAACCTGAAGGGCTTTCTTTGAAATGCATCCCTCTGGAGACTGGATTTCGGGCTGGATGGAGAGTTCGGGACTCAGGGGCTCAGCAGGGCAGCCCTGATGCACGCACAAGTGGAAACATTTGAGACAGTCTGGTGCCGCCAGTAGGAGTTCAAAGAAAACGGTCCCCGTCGAAGCCGAGCCCCAGGTTAGATCAGTCACGGGAGAGAGTTGAGAGCCTGTTGAGGCATGTCGCCGGAGCCCCGGTCCGACCCGAAAAGAAAGTTTCTGGCGCCCACCTCCACACTCGGTGTGGGCACCGAGGAAATACAAGAAGTCAAGTCCTAGTAATTGCCAGGTGTTGCTCGACAATTGTTCCGCATCGGGACGTTTTCGCTCCCATCTGCTCCCAGTTCCTAGTCAACAGGACCTCCCAAGAGAAAAGACCTTGGGAAGCTGGTCCCTTCTGCTATGTTGGTGCAAGACAGCGCTGGTTGCGGTCCTTGGAAGTCTTCCTCCCGCATCACCATTAGAATGGTAAAGCTTCAAACCCCAATCCTGGCATTGCGAACAGAACATCTGTGCATCCATCAGGAAAGGAAACTGAGTATTCGAGGAGTTTGAAAGAATCAGAAACCCAACGCCCCTTTTGTCACCATGTCCTTTTGCAAAGATAGAGGTCCCTTTGTCTCAGCATCTTATATCTGTTGTTGTGCTTTGTTCTGGTAGCTGAGGGATTTCAAGTTCACGATTTTCCTTGATCATCTGAAAATCACTCGGGCCTAGTACAACCTTGCCTCTCCTGAGAGTTCCTCATTCACCACTCACTGAGGATGTTTGCAAAGCCCCCCTGATAGCCATCCCACCTCTCTAGGGAGCAACACAAGCTGCTGGAGGAAACATTTGGAAAGACATTCCAGTATTTCTGATTGACGCCCCCCTGATAGCTCAATTTGGCTGCAATTCTTTCATTCATTCAAATAATTGGAAATTAAAACACATAACAGCCCACCAAACTGGGTGGCATTTTTTGAGCAAAGCCCAGCTAAGAGCACAATGCACCTTGGAAAATAATTGTTTGGACAAACTCCACTTCAATACAACAAATGTTTAATTTAATTCAGAGCAAGAGATAAGAAATAACTCTTCAATAAAATATATAAAAATATACAAGGTACCCTTTCAAAGGGATGTTCGATATCCTGGGGGCAAGTGGGGGGGGGGCGCCTAAAAGGGCTGGTGGACACCACTTTTTAGCAAGTCAAAGGGTAGCTTTGCCCTCTGACTCCAACACGTTATAAAAAGTATAGAATTTTTTCTAAGTTTAGCACTTACAATACTCAACAAAGCATGAGTTCCACCGACCGCCCCGCCCCTCATTCCCCAATCTATCAAGTGTTCTTAGCAATGGTGAAGATAGTCTTTTTTTTTTAAGCATAAAATTATTCCACACCCTCCCACCTCCCCCAGGGTGGAGAAAAATCGCCTTTGCGATGTGTTGAGGACTAACACTCGTCAATGGTCTGAGATGGGAGTCAAGCAAGAGTACTGAGGAGGAAATAGGCTGTACCCCAATTTTCCTCATTCCCCCAGGCATTCTTCTCATGCCCCTTTATCAGTCTTTAAAATAAAAACGAGAAAAACAAAGTAAATATTGTTACAGTGTGGGAAAAGCCAAATAGGAATTTTTCAAACACATCTCACAATGCCGAAAAGGTGGTGTGATTGTCCCCTCTCATGTGGAGCAGTCTCTCCATCTCTCTGGTCTCTGCAGGATCTAATTTGAATATTCGCTTTCCCTCCGTGGAAGTCAATCAGCGAATTGGTAGACTCAGTGGAGTAAGTCATTTGTCTCCCCCTTGACTTTACCCCTCCCTCCCAAGAAAAGAGTATGCATAGTTATCACTCTATTTTGCCTTTCAAAATAACTAAGAATTTTTACGTCATCAGTATAAAAATGAATTATACTTTATTATAATAATATATATATACTTATATATAAAAACTGTCAGAGCCAATCTTTGTGAAGGGACAAGGGGGCTGCAGGAAGAGTACACCAAGAAAGCAGAGCAAACTTGGCGCCTCTAGCTTAAGGAACATTGATTCAAACTATATCATGGGGCCCTGTCAGCTTAGGGTAGTGCGCGGGGCAGGGTCTGCAGGAGTACCGGGTTGGCACTTGGAGAAGGGAATGCTTTTAAAAACAAGCATCCAACACGGTGTCCATCAAGCTGGTCTTCCTTAGGATAAGTGGTACATGCCATATCCCACGGGCGTGGCATAGAGTCCCACAGGCGGAATGGGCAGCACAGGTCTATGGAAAGGGTACGAGGCTCCATAGAGGGAGGCTGCTTGCAGGGGCGAGTTGATGGGGAAAGGCAGGCTAAAGCCCGAGGGTAGCATGGGTTTGGCAGCCATCTTCAGCTTTTCTAGTTCTGCCTCCTGCAATCTTTTCGCCTTAGCCCGGCGATTCTGGAACCAGATTTTGACCTGGGTCTCTGTGAGGTTCAGAGAGCTGGAGAACTCCGCCCGCTCTGCTATGGAGAGGTACTGTTTCTGCCGGAACTTGCGCTCCAGAGCCAGGAGCTGGGACGTGGTGAAGGGCGTCCGAGGCTTGCGATTCGTCTTGTGTTTCCGAAGGGTGCAGGTGGTAGGGCTCATGTGTCCTAGAGAACAGAGAGGGAAGTCCATTAGCAAAAGAAAAGCTGCTTCTCTCTCCTGGGAAAGTCATGCTACAGAAAACACTTGAGATGCTAAGTTGTTTCATCCTCCAAAAAAGTTAGAAAAAAACTAACCCAGGTGATACCAGCGGCAGCAGACTAGCACTCTGTTCCACAGGGTTTTCAGCACAGATCACCAGGCCTGTCTTTGAAGGTGTCACTGGGTGGGTTCAAACCCACACCCCTTAGGGCAGTCATTGAGTGTGCTATCCTAGGACTTCAGTTAAAAAAGGTACACTTCTCTCAAAGCCATGGTGTCGGCATTGGTGCTTAGGAGAGGGGAGTGTTGACGGTACATATTTATTGATTCATTTAACAGTTTTATTGGCATATCATTTATGTGTCATACAATTCAAGATTTCGTTCTTGAATTTAAATTGAAATAAATTCCAAAGAGTTGTATAATCACCACCACAATCCCCTTTAGTACATGTTCCCCATTCCTGTAGCCTGTATTTTAAGCTTCCCATTGACCACTGCCTCCAACCTCCCAATGGATCAACTGCTTGCTTTAAAAACAGCAACAACAAAAAACCTTTCTCACCCTGAAAATTGAGGATGTACTGCAATACTGAAACTTCATAAATAGATCATAAACAGCCTTGGAAATTGTGTGTGTGTGTGTGTGTGTGTGTCTAGACCTGCCTGGCTCCAGCTGCACCTCCCTCCACAACAAAGTTGCTGCATGCTCTCTGACAAATATGCTCTACTCCTCTAATCTGGGCTTAATTCCTTATGCTTTTAACATAAGAAGGTGTCCTGATAGCCCCACTGCCCCTGGGTGCTGCTGCCCAGTTGCACAGAAGGAAAAGGACCTTATAAACAGGTTCAGCAGTTTCCTTGGGGGCCCCCCTCTCTGAACCAGAACTTGGGATTGCTTCCAAGTGCAGGTAAAGTCTGTAGCGAATTAACAGCATCTTTGGATTTAGGGGCAGCCCCATGCAATAAACCACCACGTAGCTGCCATTCCATCCCTGCTAGATGATAGAACGCGAACATCGTTTCACAGATCTGGATGTGGGCTAAGTTCCTTGGCCGGGTCCTGCTGTAATATAAACTTTACTAAGAAGGAGGGAAAAATTAGCTGGCCCATAAATGTAAATGTCAGGGGAAATCAGACTGCCTCCGAATTGAGAGCATGTGATGACATCTTAGTCATGTCCTCTCCTCCCCATCCTTTGGTTAGGGAGCAAATGTGTAAATGATTAGTTTGTCGCCAGAATTCAGAGGCGAGGGGGGTGTGGTGGTGGTAACAAGCAAAATAAAGTTATGTCAACAGCATCCAGACTCCACATTCAAAATGGATTCAATTACGGGAAGTCACAGGACTTGGGCAACCCTTGTGATTTTCACACCACCAACTAACTCCCGGTTTGTTTGTGCCTCAGTGCGGTGGCAGGCAGGAGGGAGGCACAGGGCTAAGAAGGCTAAACAATTAATGTTCCGCATTTGGCTTTTATGAGCTATGCTAATTTTCCAAATGTAGCCACTGTAGTAACTCCGATGTACTCCTGGGGAGAATGTCACATTTCTTGTTTAGTTACTTCGGTAGCCCAAGAAAGAGTTTACACTTCAATACTTGAGGGCGACACAAGCTCAAGTTCCAACTCGGCCTTCCAGTTCCAATAAAGGATGGATGTGTGCTAGTGTCAAATTATGAACCATCATTGAGGAAGCCCCAAGGTAAATCAGAGTGGTGGGTTCTGTAAGCAATCAAAAAACAAACAAACCCAGAAATCAAGGGAAGGGTGGGACAAAGACTACAGGAGTCTAGACTTTTGCATATGCTAATCCCTAAACAAGCAGGGGCATCTACTTAATTTGCAAATAAACTCAAGGGAGCCGACCTGCAAATGTCTCTCTCACCTGGTCTGGGTGACCTGCCCAGAGGACCCAGGTGTCAACTCAGCTACCAAGTTCGAAGTGCCTACCCTCACCCCTTCTCTACTTGGGTTTTCTTTAAAAGTATCTCCTCGCCTGGGCTGGGTAATCCTGGCTGCACCTCGGGGCTGCGTTTGAATTATGAAATCCTGGGGATGAGGATCGCACAACTGAATCAAAGCCATGAAAGCTGGAGGCTTCCTCCCAGCGCTTCCCCCAACCCCATTCTAAATCAGCCAGAGGAAGGATGCGATTATACAAGGCAAAACAGCATTTATCCTACTTCCTCCAAATAACAAAACCGGGCCCTGGCGGGTGGCTCCTTCTGCCCCAGGCCTTGTCACTTGGTGCTCCAAGCTCTGGGCTCTGGAGACCACAGGGCTCCCCCGGCCTCTTCCAGGCCCCAAGCACCAACAGCTCACTTTGCTTGATAAATTAAATCCTCCCTCAGCTGCTCAGGTTTTTCTTAGGTCAGATTGAGCGCCCAAGGTTGCCTTTTACCCCACTGGGAAGTCGGACGTGTGGGGCAGGGATGGTCATCGTCTTATTCGTCAAAATCCAAGTCCCTGTGGCCCCTGGATGCTGCCCCTCCAGGCAGGCAGCACCACTCCAGGTGAGGCCAGGGTCCTAGATGGGCTGTGGGACCTGTCCCCAGGCCTAGGAATGCAAGAGCTCTCAACATGTGTTAACCGAATTAAGCCTCATAATGCTCCTGAGCCAGTTTCACTATCAATGAAATGGGTAAACAATTTGAATTCCCTCGGTATGGGTTGGAGTACTGCAAGATTTATGAGTGCCCAGAGCCCTGTCTGCCACCTGGTAGGTGATCATTAATTGCTCCCTAGTTCTTTTTTTGGCAAGGCCCAAACCCAGCATGCACCCATTCCTCTGAACTCAGCAATAAAGTCCTTCTCCAGCTAAGGAGGCCAGCACTGAGGCACTGGGGTGATCAGATAAGATAAAACAGTTTACAGTGCTATAAAGCACAGTGCAAATTTGAGTTTAAATTCCTTGAGTCCTTAATCTACTGGCCCTTCCAGTCTTTCAGTTTCTAAAAGACTGAGAGGACAGCCACTGATGTGGGTACATAGGGCCCTTTGGTTCACAAAATACTATCATTCTTGGGCTGAATAATGGAAACTGGGAAGGGGATGATTCCTAAGGCTGCCCAGAACATCCTTCCAGAGGGCCCCTTCCAACACCTCTCCTAGGGGGAAAGTGAGCTGCTGGGGTTGGGGCAGGGAACCCAGGCCAGGGTCACTGAGTCCAAGGAGTTATAGGGAATCCTTTCTCCAAATTACTAGGGGACTCAGGGCTAGAAATTGCATCTGAAAACGAATCTGGAAGCTCCGGAAGACAAGTCCTGCTGGGCCTGACACCGCCCTTCACCGTCACCTGGCAGGACATGATGGGGTGTAGTTAGGGGACTCAGCCTAGTCTCTGCCCATGTTGTTCCCCCACCCAAGAGCAAAGTTTGGACACCGAATCCTTCAGCTCTTTTCAGCAGTTGTTGGTGACCCCTGTGATAAACTTGGGGTCCACATCTGAAAAGGAAGGGTCACCACAAGACCTGCACCTCTTCCGGGTTCAGATCAGGATCCAAGGAACTTATTGTACCAACTGCTTTATAAAAACTCCAGTGTTGTTTGTTGGTTAGAATGCTGTTAATAATAACTATAGGACAAGCCAAGTCCCCCGAGTTTCTGACCCCCCCAGCCCGTGCTGGGCGAAAAAGCTTGGAGCCGCTGGAGCGAGGTGCTGGCTGCCCGAAGTACACTGTGCCACGTCTTCGTGGCATCTATCTGGGCCACTGATCTCTCCGTGGACTCCGGCTGGGACCGTTGAGTGGTCCACGCGCAAAGCAACATCACTCCAAAGTATTGGACTGGTGCGCCGTACCTCGCAGGGTTCCTGGGAGTTTTGAAAGGTGATGGATGACACCCGCATCGTGCCTGCTTCCTACTGGGTGAGCATTTCTTGTGGTTCCCTCGCTCCCAGAGACCCCGGTGAGCCGTGAAACAAAACTGTGCCAAGCGATGGAGCACGGAAGGCTAAGGGCCTAAGGAGGAATCACCGCCCAGCTGGGGGACGCCCATCAAAGGCCAGTGACCCTAGCGTGGGGATCCGGACACAGGAGTGGGGGGTGGAGGGGTGGAGGTGGCTCTCAGATGCTGCGGGTGCGCTCGCCTTCGGGAACGGCCAGGGCAGTCGGCCTGATCTTCAGTTAAGTACACTGCAGAAGCGTCTCCGTGCCCCCACCCTGGCATACCCGTCCCAGCTCGCTCCTCAGCCCCCGCGCACCCCCTTTCTCCTAGTCCCCGCGTCCACTCACTTGGTGGCGGTGAATATCGGCCGGGTTCCTGCATCCACGTCGCTCCGTCTTCAGAATTTTCCGACTTGACCGAGGCCGTCTCGAAGGGCTTGACCAGCGAGCCCGGGCTGTGCGATTCCCGGGCGCCGTGTCCCGGCAGCAGCAGCGGCCGCACGGTGGCTGCGGAGGAGGCGCTCTCGGCCGGCCGAGGGGACGGCTCCTTGGGCGGCTTCTTGTCCGACATGAGCGCCTCCACGCTGAAAGGCAGGCTGGAGACCTTGACGCGACGCTCCTCGGCGGCCCCCTCGGCGCCCCCCGGACCCGGGCCCGGCCCGGCCACCATAGCTGGGCCCTCCTCATCAGACGAAAACAGGTCGTTGCCTTTGGACGGAGAAGCCATGACTTCTCTGCCCCAAGTAGCTCCCAACGCGCGACTATCCTCACAGCCTGGCAGCAGCGACTCAAACTTTCTTTGAGGGAGGGGGGGAAGAATCGGGAGGGGCGCGCCAGGAGGCAAGTCTTTCCTCCAAGGGGAAGTGGGAGAGACGACTCAGCCAATCCGCGCCGTCCTTAGTGATGACGCCACAGATGCTGGCCTCCGATTGGTTGCCCTGGAAGAGGCTGGGACCTTTTTTTTTTTCCCTGTTTGAAATAAATTAGGAGTTAATTACAGGCGCAGTCAGCAGAGTTGTTATTAGGCGATCCCTCAAGGGTTGTAATCACACCAAAACTGAAAAGTCCAAGGCGTAATTAAAGCTGATTATTTAAAGAGGAAGTCGCTGAGTATTATTTGTTATCTCTGTTGACCTCTCTTTAAAAGATACCCTGCCCCGCCGCCAGAACGCTTAAGATCTGCAACTGACGTTAACTTGTTAAGCATTAAATATGAATTAATGTATGCGCCCAAACGGAGCTAACTTGTTCACTTAAAGAGTGAGCCCTGAGAAACACAGACCTGGCCCTCTGCTACAGGATACATAAGTGCACAGCGCTGTCTGACACTAGGGAACCTATGGATCTGGACCGCAACTATTATCACCATCACTGGTTCTCCCCCGAAAATGGGTGACCAGAGGTTCCCTAACAACTCGGCCCGGAACATTTCAAGCAGCCGTCCTCACCTTTTCCCCTCGAATACACAACTAGTGCGCCCAGGAAAGCGTGGATCCTTAAGTGTCTGCCTTTCGCTGCCTCTGTCCTGGACGGAGATCTGGATCTGAGCTCTTTCCCAAGGCTTAATGCAAAGAATGTTCGTGCGTTTGCTTGAACGTGTTTTTGCCTTGTGTGTTTGGGTTTCAGTTTTTGTCTTCCAGGTAGATCGGGAGTGGGAGGTAAAGGTGCGGATAATATCTCGGAGCTTCCCTTCCCCTTGCGAATGTCAGAAGGACTGGTTTCCAAATTTACTCATCTCAGGCCTGTGTCTCTTCCTGGGAGAACCATTGCACGAGTTCAAAACGAAATCACCTATCCGAAAGCCATCATTCAGTTCTGTCCTGAGGCTACTGTGAAGACAAACTCTGCCCTGGGAAGCGGGGAGAGCACGCTTCTAGTGCACAAAGCCCTGCGTTCTCTGGACGCTGGCCTTCTCCAAGCTGGGCCAGAGCCCACCTCTTCAAATGGCTTTCCCTATCATCAACCAACTATTATAAGACAAATAGTGAGTGGCCCAACTCAGGGCCTCCTCATCTACCATAGATGTTTGCTAAACAGTCCCTCGAACATTGGAAAGAAGGGACATTGCTTTTAATTACTTAAATGACCAGTACTTGCTGTTTCAAGAGTCACAGAAACTTGACCTCCAGATTGAGCTACAGACCCTTAAACCTTCTGCCCTAGAGCACCTCTCCATGAAGAATGTACTGTCACCCCCAAGCTCTGCTTGGACTAAAACACAGCTGGCCCCTGCTGGGAAGTGGGGTGGGGGGAGGAAAAGGCCTTATTTAAAGTTCAAAGGATGAAAACAATCTGTACTGGCCAGTTAATTCAGTTTGATTCTGACTAGTAATGGATAGAATTTAAAAGTAAAATCCTACAGACTTCCAAATCTTTCAGGTGTCCCTCACAGAAAGGAACAAACACATTTTCTTATAAACTGGAAGCTCAAAGAGAGTTAAAGGGAAAAAAAAGTATTAAAGTTATCTTGGATATGTATGCATTTTCCCCTTGAGTCATACTTGATGACAATTGGTTTGATATGCATCTCAAATACAGTACAGGTAAATCCAGATTAAGTTCTGTGCCTTCCAGATGTACAAGGCAAGGTGCAGGCTATATATACAGATTAGAAGGAAACTTTAAATTCGTTTAGCCCTTAGCTGCCAAAGTGTACAAAAGGGTTCAGTTTTCAGTTGGGCTGGACCCAGCCACTGTTTTCTAATTGTTCCTGGAAACCCATTGCTAATGTTGAGAAGCTTACAGAAATATCAGCTCCTGCCTGGGAAATATCGGACAACAAAAAACTGGGGATGCTTTTATTTTCTTGAACTTTTCTGGAGGAGCAGGCAGGTTTGTTGCCCTCTACTAGGTCTTCAAGTGTTTGAAAATTATAGGTATAGGAAATGAAAAGTATAGGAAAATTATGAAACCTGAAATGGGAGAGTAATTGGTTTTTGTGTGTGTCCTTTTTAATTTGTTTTTATTTTTAAGATCGGGTGTTTAAGGCCAGGATGGAAGCTCTGGCCAGGAGCAAGAGTTTCTCAGTGGGTAACCAGCCTGCCTACCTAACCAGGTCCTCCACCAACTTTCTCTCAAGCCCCTTGCTAGGGGGCTTATGGGTTGGGGAGCCGGTCCCAGGAAGGGGTCTTACTTCTGGTAGGAATCAAGCCCAACTTCAACTCTAAATGGAAAACCCCACCTGGGCATTTGCTCCACCTTCGCTGCTGTTTTTAGAACCTTTATTCAACTCTTCCTGCGTTGTGACCTTGGACGCGTTACTTCACCTCCCTCCGCCCAATTTTTTGTTAATGTCTAAATAGTGATAATCCATCCCTACCTGGCAAGCCTTTCTGGTAATTACATTCGGTTGACTACATAACGTATCGGTGAGTGTCAGGGATCAAAGGGTAAAAACCAATATTGCATTTTAAGAGCAATACGTCTGAAAGGATGGGTTCCCTCTTCCAAGTGTCCAAAATGTGCCCCGCTCCATCCGCCTTCACGGAGTTCACGGTGTGCTCACTTTCAAAGTCTCCCCAGCTGAGACCTGGGCTCCGCCACCGCAGTGTCGTGGCTCAGATGCAGTCCCTTCTCGGCTTTGGCACTTAGGAGGCGCTCGGTAAATGTCAGTTCCCGCAGACGGAGTTTGCAAGCAGACCAGTGGGGTTCCGGTCGGAACTACTTAAGACCACTGTGCACTGTGATTTAGTATCTGGACCGAGCCTCCGGGATCCCATTGATCTCTTCCAACACGCTGCTCCGTGGAGATGATACCCCCGCCCCACCCCCACTGTAAGGACGAGAAGCCTGCGGCTCGGAAGCGTTAATGCCTAGGTACTAAGTGGTGCACCCGAGAACCCCACCGCGCGAGCGACACCGCCGGCTCCGGCGACGGCGCACAGACCCTCCGTCTCCCAGGCTTCCGCGCTCCCCTGGGCCTTCCTCGCCCGCGCGCCCCCGAGTCGGGAGAAGAAAGCAAACGTCCCCCGCACAGTGTGGGGCGCAGCGCGCTGATCCTAGCTTTTGGAACCCCGAGGAACAACCGTAGGATCCTGGACGTTCAGGGGAGGCGGGGGAGGGGCGCGGGAGGGGGCTGTAGACGGGCCAGGGCTGCGGGCAGGCGCCAGGCGCG